ACAGTAACAGATAGCAACCTGAGACACAACAGTGTGTTGCACCTTGGGTTTGACCAAGCTACCAAACAAATGTCCACCAGATTAAAATGCACTGCTAATGTTTCCTATATCTACACCTTTAACTATCAAAGGCAAAAAGCCATTAGGAGTGTAGGATTTAGTTGCATCCAGTGGTGAAGTTGCAGAACTGAATACAGCTCAGCTTTCCAAGTGTAAAGGAGAATCTGTGGTGAGCGCTGTAGAAACATTCAACATGGCAAACTTCGTGGAAGAGCACTGGTGTTGTCCATTCAAATGGAGTATTTAATGTTGCGTAGTCCTTGATTAAAGTACAACCCCTAATTTTTCAGACATGATTATCATCTTATATTTGACTTAGTATGGTATATCCAATATTTCACACAATGTAAACTTAAAATAATCAAATTAATATTTACTGCATTACATCAGACCAAATCTCTTCACATGTGTAAAACAAGCTTTGACTCACTTGCTTAGTTTTTAATTACAGTTTATTTGGCTTCATAAATTTGGACAACAGAACTTTGTTAAATGGTAAATTAAAGTTTTACAAAGCCCCTTCCTTTTCTACCTACTTCTCAAAGCGTATTCCCACACGTTCATCCATACTCACTCATTTATACACTGATGGTAGAGGCTGCCATGCAAGGTGCCGACCTGCTCAACAGGAGTGGTACAATGCTTCTTATCCAAATGCTAAGTTCACCCACACACATACACACACAGGGTGCAGCCATCAGGAGCAATTTGGGGTTCAGTATCTCGCCAAACTTCAATTGGACTGGGGGTGGCAAAAATCTAACCATCAACCCTCTGATTACGAGACCACCTGAGCCACAGCCGCCACAATAACGCAATGTCACTTCGGCACAATACAACTCCCAGTTATGGCCCAACCCTAGCATGGAGCATGTCAGGGACGTGGAAAACCAACCTCCACATGAACAATTTGTTACATAATCACTGTAAGAGATCTCTCAGCAGTCATCTGTTGAATGTGTCTCCTGATCAGATTGTTCATCAATGCTCCATGTGAGCTGCAGCAGGAGGATGAAATAGTGGAGTGAAGAGTGTATGTTGGGCCTGCTGACCTTGGCATTCATCTTTACTTATATCAGCACCACTGACTCAGCAGTAAAAACTCCCACTGATCTCCTGGTACATCTCCACAGCTAATTTAAGAACTGCTCACTCCCCCCTCAGCCGCCTGCATGCAGGGAAATAAATTGTGGATGGCCTGAGGTTTGCTGTGTGAGGGCTTTGCTATGTAGAAGATGCATACATACTATTATGTCCAACTCTGTAATACATTCTAACCAGACTTTAATTGCTAAATAGCGGGTATTGGCTTTAATCCTTCAGGGGCTCACAGGTCGGTAAATTACAGGATCAATAGCAACTAAACAGTGTAATGTGAATGAATCTGTTTTGAAGATTAAAAAAGCTGATGCACTGGCTGTGGCTTACAGCTTTGTTTGAATATAGAGAACAGTGTCAGGAATCATCATTTTTGATAGGATATTTTCTTTGAGATATTATTCTGGACCAGAGCCCTTCCTTCTTTTCCTTCTTTCTTTTTAAACAGGGTAAAGCTGTATTGATTTTGTTTCCTTTTTCTTGCCGGTCATGGCTCTCTGACTTGGAAACCTAGTATTTGACTGTTTTTTTTGTTTGTTTTTTGAGAAAGCCGATTGTTGAGGCTTCACGGTCAGTTGCTCATCAGTTTTTCTCATTGTGGATGTTGGGATTTAGTCAAAGATTTTTGTAAGAAAGGTAGGTCTTTTGCCAGTCTGGAACATAAACAATGACAGTGATATTGATAGGAAAGAAGAGCTGTTTAATGTTTTGGCTTTTTTATTGTTTTGGGGTTTTAAAACTTGATGGTTTAAAGTTGGGGTCTCAAACTCAAATTGGCTTGTGGCCACTACTGGTATTGTCATTGCATGGGAGGGCCACTATGTTCAAGTACTACAAGAAAGAGCAATATTCAAAAAATATTTCCAACAGTAACAAAAGAAATGTAGACAGCAGTTCCTATATATTTTTGTATGATCATTTTATATTTCCTTGATTGATGATTGAAGACTTGTTCACAGAAAATCTGCTATCTTCTTCAGGAAAATGGCCCCCAGGCTGGCAGTTTAAGACCCCTGGTTTGAAGTTTAATACTCCTATTAAGAATGTATGAAAATCACTTTGTGTAATGTGAAATGTGTTATTGCTTATAGTGACAAACCCACAGAAAATTGCATCTCTCACTATTCAGCCATGTTCAACCGCCATGTTTTCTACAGTAGCCCAGAACGGTCCCCATAGTCCCTTCTACAAACTTGGAAGGGTTGGGTGAGGTGAAGGGGTCGTAATCTGCAACTACACCACTAGATGCCACTACATCTTACACACTGGTCTAGAGGACTGCATTGGGATTGGGATTCTGCAATCCTGATGCAGATCTTGTGGGAGTGGGCAGGAGTGGTACCTTGCAGGGCTCTACAGTGGTTATTTAATTGTAATTAATCACATAGGTTTATTGCCTAATTGCAATAAAAATGAATAAAGGTATGGAGTTGAAGGATTTGCAGTACAATTTCCTTCCCACCACTGCCGACAATGAGATTCAACAGGCCCTTTTTTAAAGTAGAATCACCTGTGAGGTCTGTCCAAAAGGAGCAGTGTTTTGTCTTTTGAGCTGTAATTGTGCCGCTCAGTTGTCACCTTGATGGCAGATCCGTGTTCTTTGTTTTGCAGCCTTCCTAAAGGGGGCTGCCTGCTCTCTGCCGCCTGCTCCAATAAGCACTCATTAATCTTTCTTACAGCCTTCATTAAAGCTGCCACCGCTACACCCGTGCCCACTCTCCACGCTCATATCTCCTCCCTAATGCCCATCTCCTCGACCTTTATCTCTACCCAGCTTGGCTTTCATAATCTCTCGCCCCGAAGCCCACGTACATCCCCCTCCCCTCTCCCCTCTTCATCTCCTGGATCACTCTTTATTTCATCTCACCTGCTTTTCTGTCCTCTTTATACCTTTTGTCTGGTGGCTCAAAAACTTTAAATTCATATGAACTGAGTGTTGAATTCAATTTGCACCATCTCTGGTGGCGGCGGTGTGCCATTTGTGAAGTTGGCCGTTTAAGTTCTCTCCTGGTTTGTCATTGACTCAGACATAAAAGCCCACTTTATGAAGGGATTATGTTTCTGCTGGCTCTGTGTTGAACTAGTTGACCCTGAAGTGTCTGCCACTGATCCCCCTCCAACCTCTGTTTCTGTCTGCACACTATGCGAACCGTACGGAATTGAAAAACAGCAAGTTAGCCAAAGATCATGATTCTATTATGTCCTTATCTGTAGAAAAAAACAATGGCTACAAATAATGTTTTATCCTAAAATTGAATAACCATAAATTAAAGAGTGACATTTCAACTGCAGAAAGAACCAGGTTTTATGAAGAAGCCTCCTTGTTTTATGGTCCACTCCTGTGTTAATTTGCTTGGTAATTAGATCATTTATCTATTTCTAATAATTTCTTTGCATTTTTTTTTTTTAATGGTGTATGACGTTGGCATGACATTCAACAGCTTGTTGGGGCTGTTAACGCTCTCTGATAGACAAAGAGGCTGTTTCTGTGTTACCCTTTCTGTGGCATTTCTGTACCTCAGTTTGTTATTGTTTATTGGGCGGCATATACCCATATGTCTGTGATAAGTTGATATCAGACAAGTCTTGCCCTAGAAAATAGTGAGGTGAAAATGACACAACTTTGTTGTTGTGCTGTTGGAATTTGTCTTCTGGAAAATGTTATGCTGAATTTGTTATGCGTTAAGTGTAGCACAACTCTGAGTTTAATGCGTTCAGCTTGACAGACTCACTGAGAATGACTTCTCAATAACAAGGTAGCCAAGCCCTAAAGCATACCCTGCTTTATCATCTATTCTACTCTAAATAGGACCATAATCTACTAAATAAACATCATGCTGTTTGGAAGAAGACTGAAACTAGAGATTGAGACCATAAATTCATTAGGAAACTGTTCACTGAGCTAATAAATCAAGTCAGAAGACTGAATACTATAGGTCTTGTATTACAGCCAATGGAGCTTCCCCTGCTGGCCTTTACATAGAGTGAAGGTTTAAGACCAGACCGTATTAGGTCACATTCTGTGTGAATGGTTGACCCAAACACTGGAAAATATATATATATATATATAACTTTGCATATGGACATACCGGTATACTGTCCGTGTGCAGAAGATTACAGACTTTATTTTGATTTGATGTAATACCATATAATATGATATGATATACAGATCTGGATATAAATCTATAAACTTTTATACCTTTAAGGATACAGGTCCTTTTTGTCTAATAAAAAATCTTCAATTTAAACAATTTCAATGTTATGTTGTTATGTTCATGTTACCACAGCTAGTATGTAGCATTATGTTTACCATTAGGAATGTAATACATAGTTATATTCAATGTAAGTGTATTTATGTTCTGTCCTCTTATAGGACAACCCTTTTCCTCAAGGCTGATATAACTCTTTGATAAAACTATCTCGGATAGACGTCACATTTCCAAGTCCACATCCTTTTCTGGGCTGTGAATGTGTTTGAAAGTATGTGAAATTGTTCAAGAAAATTACCAGCCAGTGTGAGAGCAGACGGACCAGACTGATGGGAATGTGTACGCCAAAAGAAATAAATTACAATCTTTCATCATAAAATAAATCCATGAACATCACATATTAAATATATGCAGCATTAAAAGAAAATTCAAATGTTGGTTTTCTGAAAGGCCCCACATTACTTAAGCCTAAACCCCCAGGACACAGTAAGTAACTACAAAAAAAGTAAATACAATGAAGCGGATAATGAAATAAACTCTACAATGAATTGTGGTTAATTAAATGAAAGCTGCAGAGAAAAGAAATGGATGTAGAGAATGTGACAAAGCAGTAATGCTGTTTGCTGTGTTCAGGTCAGCAGGTTCTGGGTCTTGTGGAGAACCAGAGCGACTGGTACCTGGGGAACTTGTGGAAGAACCATCGACCTTGGCCGGCTCTGGGCAGGGGCTTCAACACTGGTGAGTACAGGGGGGCATGGCGTTAGCATGTATGGCTACGTTTCCCAGTTGCATACTACACTTTGATTTTAAGCAGATTTTGAGTTTGTATGGTGAAAATAGTGACACATGTTTTATGTAAATTAATTATAGCAAAGTAACTCAGTATGCATGTAAAACAACACAGGTGTACCCACAGCTGCAAAATATCAAAACATCCAGGCAGGAATTCATAATAACTCTAATAGAAATATCCAATCTGCTCGCTGATGGCTGTTGTTGTGATGTTGGTCATTTAGAGGCATCAATATTGAAACTGTTTCATAACTAGTTAAAAACTCCTTGTAGTACTTTTAAAGGTCCAGTGTGTAACATTTAGTAGGATCTATTGTCAGAAATGGAATATAATATTCATAGGTATGTTTTCATTAGTGTATAATCACCTGTAAATAAGAATAATTGTGTCTTTCTTACCTTAGAATGAGCTGTTTATATCGACAGACACCGTGGGTCCGCCATGTTGAATCGCCATCTTTTTACAGTAGCCCACTAGAATAGATAGGAGTATTTGCATTTTTGGCATGTCTTGCGGCCACCGTAGTTTCTCCTTTGTCCTTAGAAGGGGAGGGTGAAGTGAGGAAGTTGCAATCTACAACGTCACCAGTAGATGCCACTAAGTCTTACACACTGGTTCTTTAAACATACTTAGAAGTCGTATTTTGCCAGTGCATTTTTGCCCACTTCCACACCAAATTTGGGATCAATCAGAGCTTGCATTATGAAAATTACATTAGGTCAGGTGTATCATCTCCCATTCCGCCTGGCTTTATTTTGTATTTATTTTATTTATGGGATGTGCCACAATATCTGTCAATTAAACCACTTTTTATACAAAAATCTATTTCATATATGAGAGAATAGATGTTGTTGTGCTTTGTTCTACTTCTGGTATGGCATATTTCAAGGACTATACTTTTGAGGTTCTTCCTTATAGCCTGTGCACCGATGAACAGCATCAGGAGCCATTTGGGGTTTAGTATCTTGCTCAAGGACACTTGGACATACAGCAGGGATCGAACCACAAACTGATTAGTGGACGACAGGCTCTACCTCTTGAGCCACAGCCGCCCTGTATATAATTCATATGCAGTATTGAATTAATTAATTACTTATAATTTGTATTTTGATTGAGCGCTCTCTGTGATTATAATTTGATGTTGTTATTCAACCCATCCAAGGTTATTTTCATTTACCATCTGTAACAGGAAAATGTTTGATTACTGTCCAAGTGTTTTTATTTTCTGTCTTCCTTTTTTCTTCTGAGAACTTCAGTCTCCAGCATTTCAAAGCCAGTGGAAGAAGCAGTGAGGTAGTTTCATCTGCATCGGCATTGATGAAATATGCAGGTGTTCACTAGGCTTGTTAAAAGTTGTCTGGAAAAACATTTTCAATAAAGAGCGTGGTGTAATTTCACAAAGCAGCTGATAGTGGAATTGATTTGATTCCATTACACCTTGTTATTATTTTCCACTGCCTATATATTTTTTTCAGCTAGGTCTTTTCCTGTAGGAGACTTACAGCTCTCTCTGTGCTGTGTGGAGCAGGGGGATAACCATTCTATTAACCCCTAATAACCCAAAACAAACAGCACGACCCGCTGCAGCAGCTCTGTGAATTTCACAGCACACACATATCAGTGGGAGCAGTGTAACACTCACCCCAACACGCCCGTGTCGTAAAAAGGTTTAGTGTTCTGCTCTTAAACGTCCTGTCAGTGTGACCAAACAGCCGATCTCAGGAACAGAAAAGCGTGTGTTGCATTTACACAGAACAGCAATTTGACAGAAAGCCTGCAGTTCAGCTGCGGCTGGTCGGCTTTGTGGCGGTGGCCGTGGCAACAGATGGAGCACAGCGGGGTGTGAAAGATGCTTTGTTTGTTCCTATCTGGAAAAAAAAATATGCACCATGTCTCTCCCTCTGAAAATTGGCTGTTTGATTTTATTTGTAGCAGCCAGGAAGATTTCTTTTATTAGCCAGGGAACTGAGAGGAAGAAGAAGTTTTTTCCTATTGGTTGGTTGGAGAAAGTTAGCAGAAAAGAAACACACAAGCTTCTAAGAATGATTTGTGTTTCGAGGAGGATTTTAACATGTTTTCTCCATCCAGTGCCAGTCTGTCTTTAAGCTTAACGTCTACAGCTTTATCTCAGAAAACACAAGGCTGTGATTCAGAGCCTCATGATGGGACTTTATCACCTTTACCAGACTGCTAGATACTAATCTCTCTGTCTCTAAAGCTACCATATCTCTCTCTCTGCTTTCTAGGGGTGATTTTGCTTCTCCTGGATCGTCTACGGAAGCTGAGATGGGAGCAGATGTGGAGGCTGACTGCAGAGAGGGAACTAATGAGCATGCTGTCCACCTCCTTGGCAGACCAGGTAACACACACACACACACACACACATATCCTCACAGCCCAGCCATGCAAACTTGCCACCCATTGGCAAAAAAATGCCATTTTACATGGGCAAACCATAAAAACACTTGTACTGGTTGCTCCATTTTCTTCACCTAACTGCAATTTCTGCAGATGACAGGTCTTGTTTTGCCATATCTAAAATCGAGTCGGAGTAGGGTTCCAAAGACATTTCAACCCTTCGTGAAGCAACTCTGGCACTTTGGAAATTTGCTGTTCTTGTCTTGTCTAGTGTTTAGACCACATCCAGACACAGAATATATAAAAGCACTTATTTCCTTTTTTTTTTAAAGCCCTGTCACAACAAACTGCCAAAAAGCGAGCAAACAGTGACACTAAACACACCGCACCAACTGCAGCAAACTGTTAACTAGCATGTTGCAAACATGCGCCTGCACGAGAGGCAATAACTCTCCATACTATACAGGTGGTGGTAGTCTGCATTCTTCTTTCAAAAAAGAACTCTGGAAGACCTAGGACTGCGAATATAAACAAAAGCAGCCCTATGGTTGTAGGTTTGCCTGCTCTCACTTTATTTATAGAAGTAGATCAGCTGCTTGTTGTTAAAATATCAGTGTATTTGAGTGATCACATGAGATGGAGTTGAAAAATAAGACCATCCGAACTCAAAGCCACAGACGGCGGTCACCAAGCCCCAAACGGCACAGAAGACACCGCAAAACTATTGTAGGGCAAGAGACCCTCACCGACGGCCCCTGTGGGCTAGGACCTTTATACAAAATACATAATATAAATCACCCATTCAACCACATCGAAAATTTTGCTCATCCATTTTTGACCACAAAAAACTGACACTAGAATACACAGTACCAACTGTAGCGAACAGCTGACTAGCATGTAGCGTACATGCACCTGCACGAGAGGTAATAACTCTCTATTTTCCATAAAAATATTATTTTTTTTAAAGCAAAACTTAAATAAAATGTTGTTAGTAATACACATTTCTGAAAAGAAAATCAAACAACCAAAAGATACACTGACCCATTATAAACTGTTGCAAGCCCTGTTATTTTCGGCCACTGCTAACTGGAATTCTCCTGTTAAACTAAGCTACAGTATGCTTCAAACAAACTACTTTGTACAATGTTTCATCCAAACACTTCTAAAGTGTTTCTGCCTGTTCTGGACACATTGGAAGCTGGGTGAAAAACCTGCCGTCCTAGCCTCCCTGATCTCTCTCCAAGAACTCTTTGCCTTGTGTGTTTCATTGTAGTGTTGGCCCCATGAATCATACAAATGGGGATAACGGCACATACTTTGAGATAGTCTCTCTTCAAAGGCATTCATGGTGTTTGACTTGCTTCTGCACACGAAAACTGACAGAGGTAGTTGTGTGAAGAATGGAAAAGAGACTTCAAACCCTGCATAGTTTCTCAGCTCCACACACCTGAGTAAAAGTGGTTGTGCTCGTCATATTGTCGGTTATGGAAGGTCAGAACTGTCAGTGGTAGCCCCCCCAACCAGAAAGGAATGGGGGCAGGAGGTTACGGACAGTCTGCCAAGCACTGTGTTTGAAACATACAGTATTGACTGCTTAATGTTACCTTGTCCAAGTAAGCTCACTATTTTTATTTTGCCCACCAACAATGCTATTTTTTGAACAGCAGTGAAGCGCACTTCTCCTCTGTTGTGTTTCAGTGGGATGCAAGTGACTTGCTTGAGAAAGTGAGCAGGGTTTAGACATCTCCCTTGAACTCTCTTTGTCATTCTCTTTTTGACAACTTTTTCTCTCACTTTTTCTGTGCATGAACGAGTGAAACACAATGCTTGAGAGTGACGGTTTGTTGTAGATGTGTGACGTGACGCACCACACGCCTGTCCACCATTGTGACCTACACACACTTACTTTCACGCTTCGCTCCACAAAGGACAAACTCCTTCCTGCTTTGACACTGAACGTTGGCAGTGGACATAAATGGTGATCTACAGCACCATCCAATGTGAGCGTGATTCCCACCGGTCTATTTGATATGTGTCAATTGATGTGACTTTGCAAGGTGCCCACAACAGCCTTCATTGAAAAAAAAAAAAAAAAACTACATATATCTGTGTCTCTATTTTTTATCTCAGAGTGCAACAGAACACTCCTTTTACAAAGCTGTAGAAAGGTTTGGTTCCAGGTATCAACCCTGTCTCCTAGAAATTGTGTTTGTGTATAACTACATTCTTTTCATAATTAAAGCTGCAAGCAGTGCTGTGGTCATGAAAATTTCACATAAATCAGATGATGATTGCCATACAAGGCTTACTTCCTGTTGCCAGTAGGTGGTGCTATGACTGTGACTGAATAATGCTATGTAGACATGTTCAGACATCATATGTTAAGTTTGAAAGATTAGACAAAGTACACTGAAGTTACAACAAATTCCTGTTAATGAAGTCCAAACTCGTCACCACGCCACAGACACGCCCCCTGGCATGAACTTTTCATCATCGTGGTCTTTAGATTGCATAAAATAAAACCCACAAAAACAACATTTCCTTATTATGTTAATAGAAAATGTAATTCGGTCAGCATTACATTTCAACAAACTATACTACCACTGTATATAAACGTCATTTCAAGGAGACAGGGCTGCAGGTATTGCACCATTTTCATCCCACTTGAGCATACAGGTATCCTCCTGAAGGTCATAAATAGGTGTTATCTTAAACCGTGCAGTGTTCTGTTATCTACCATAGTAAGGGCAGACACTCAGACCTTGGTGCAGGGTCTCTCCGTTATCTCGGAGCTATTCAGAGCTCATCTAAATGAGAGGTGCATTTATGAGATTTTAATTAAACCTTCATTAAGTAAAGTCCCGCAAGGTATGCAGTTTGTAAAATGAAAGGGGCTTTGGAAATCGTTTGAGCATTCCATCTGCCTTCTGCTGTATAAGCTCCAATCAACTGTCAGCCCCCTTTATTGCAGCATTCATTATGTGGCTATAGAGTTTTTATGTGTCCCATTAGGAAACTAGAGTCTGTCACCGAGACTCTCTTCTTGTGAATCCACAAAGATCTCAAAGTCAAAAAAGTCTCTCCGACCAAGGTACATTTCCTCAAAGCAATTCCAAGTGTTCAGCTTTATAAGTGTGATTACACATACATTAGTTATTAACCTGAACATCTGGAGGAACACAAAACTCTAACAAGACAGAAGAGGCAGGACTGCTATACTGGCCCCACAGCAGTAACATCTGGAGATAATGTGTTACAGTAATTCTTCCTTCCTCTGCTGCTAGTGGTGGTGATGAAATTATTCCTGTACCCATAGGACCATACATGAGATCAACCATCACAGAGTCTTTAATTGGACCGATGCAAAAATTTAGGGCACAGTCACACATACGCAATATCAACATATCATCATATCGACAAATATTCATCTCCCGTTCATGTCCATTCTATGTGAGGGAAAGTGCGGAACCTTTTAGTGGCAAAGCAGATTTCCATCTCAACTTTGTGTGGAGTGAACACTGGTGAATTGTGACCGGTGAAGTCGCAGTCTCAACCAATCAACTTCCTCGTGTTATCATCATAACATCGTAACATCATTCAAAGTGGACAGAAACAAAATAAATCTTACCTAAACTGTCTCTCCAACAATGACCAACTCTGCTTTTGTGGAAATAAATCCTTAATTCAAAGACATAGATGATTGTTTTAAAGAATCATTTAAAAAATTATAATAAAATATAAATATTTTTTATTTGAGAAAGTGTGTTAGTTTTGCTGTTTTTAGTACGCATTGTTTTACTGTGCTCATTAAAGTGGTTTTCAGTTCAGAATCCATGCAATAAGCAGGGTACGATGTAATACAGCTTTGTGTGGTCATCTATTAAACAGCTAGAAGAGTCAGAGTAGACTGTGTGTTGCAGGCCTTTAGATGACATAAGGCAACGCATAAGGCTCAGTATGTGTGTATGTGTGTGTGTGTGTGTGTTACTGCAGGACATCTTCAACGCTGTGATCAAACAGAACCCGTTCCTGGTTCACCAGCTGCCCTGCTTCTGGAACGTCCAGCTGTCCGACCACACCCGCTCTGAGAAGTGCTACAAAGACGTGTCAGACCTCAAGGTGAGACCCCGCCATCCCCACTGCGCTCACACTCAGTCACTTCAGACATACAAGACGTGACCTGCATTAATCAAGAGTCTCAAGCAAGCCCCGAACTCAAAGCGACAGACATTTGGTTCTACTTCAGGCACAGTAAAAACGCTGTGGATTGTGTTAACCTTGAAAAAGCATTCTCTCTTCAGTAGATGTGCAGAGCTGTCAGAGCCTGTTGGTAGATCCCAGTAGGTGGACAATGATAGAGCATCAGTGGTGGAGGTGTTCAGATCATTTACTTAAGTGGAGGTACTAATACCACACTGTTAAAATACTCTCTTCCTTAAAGACAATGCACAATACATGTATTGTACCAGATATAGCTTAAAGCTCATTTTCATCCGTAGTCCCTGGGGAGGCCACCAGAGATGTTTACAAGTCTTTTTTTGCAAGTCCAAGTCAAGTCTGAAGTCTTTGGTCACGAGTCCAAGTCAAGTCTCTAAAAAATAAAAGTCATATGTCTCTTCTGGTTGTAATGAGCATTCTGTCATCTGCTGCTACTCGGTCTACTAAGAATACTGCACAGCTATATCTGAGAAATTCAAAGCATTTACTGTATTATTATCACTCCTTTATCTATTAGCATACAGTATCAGTACTGATTAGTTGATGAGATCCTGTATTATGGATTCAGTAATGGCCTTCTGCCTGGGATGGCCCTGGCTGTATATCTGCACACCTGGTTTTGTTAATAAAGAGTCAAGGCTGCTCTGTCCCTCTGCACTGCCACTGGCCACATTTTTCGCTCTGTTGAATTCAGAAAACCTGTAGATGAACAACATGGAAAATTAGGCTGTTATTTATAGTAATAAGATCTGGATGATATAGCTAACATTTTTATGTGTAGCAAAACACATCTGGAACCACATGTTTCTGAGAGAAGAACTGGATCTGAACTAATGTTGCAAGCTATATATCGATCTTTTATTTCTGATTATAGAGAGGGTTGCTAAAAAAAGATATAGACTAACTCAGGGTAACAGGAAAATATTGCTATTTCCTCAGGCCATTAGACTCCTGAACCAGAACTCAACTTGACCACTCCCCCCACCACCAGGACTCAGCCTGACACACACACATACACACACCCTTGCACATATTTTCATTTCTGATTACATTATTTTGATTATATTTAATTACATTATTTACATCATATTAGTTTGTTTTTTACATCATGTCAACACCACTCAATGCAAACAAGTGTGACAAGCAAACTAACATTCACTCATCTATTCAAATATTCAGTTACAAAGCTAGTAGCAAGCTAAATGAACGTTACATAGCTGATGCTGAGCTAACCGTCCATATGCGCTAAAGTGACTGATCTATTCGGGTGAGTTTTCAGGTGCCTGATAAAATTTGATGTGGTGGATCCAGCATCCTTGATTCGGGTACTGCAGACTTTGCAGTCAGCGCTCCTTTTGTTGGTGCCGTCCTGTTTGAAGATTTTATAACCAAATGTAGTCACAAATGGTACAGCAGCAGCTGCAGGTGTGCTGCCGGTCGCCATAGTCGTCATCCGAGGTACTAGTGTGTGAGGCTGTGAGGCGTGCACCCAATGCGTAATATGGTTACCATGGTTACCATGAAACAAAGGAAGGAATCACATTAATCTCGTCAGACGTTTCAGAGTTTCCTCAATATCAATACGCCAAAAAAGAAAACATAATGATTGTTCACGAGTTCCAAAACATGAGTCCGAGTCGAGTCCGAAGTCTTTTGAGCACGAGTCCAAGTCAAGTCTGAAGTCTCTGTGTGTGCGACTTAAGTACGACTCGAGTCCGAGTTGCAAACTCGAGTCCCCATCTCTGGAGGCCACTAGTGCTAAGATAAAAGAAAATTCTTCAGTAAATCTGTCATTGAAAATGTTAGTGGGTCATCCACTAATCGGAAGGTTGTTGGTTTGACCCCTGGCTCCTCCTGCCACATGTCGAAGTATCCTTGAGCAAGATACTGAACCCCGAATTGCTCCATGCTGGCACGTAATGCAAATGCACTTTGAGTGGTCAGAAGACTAGAAAGGCGCTGTACAAGTACAGGTCCATTTACCATTTACCATTATTATGACTCTTGCATTAATGTGAAAGATTTGATTTTACTGTTGTAGTTGGTTGACTGTTTTGTATAGAACCAGAACTAATGATTATGTTCATTATGTATTTATCTGCTGATTTATGTTTTCCATAATTGATTGATGTTTTGCTTTGTAAAAATTCTGAAAATAGTGAGAAATGGCGTCACAATTACCCAGAGCCCAAAGTGACACGTTCACAGTGCTTGTTTTGTCCAACCAACAGTCCAAACCTCAGAATTATTACAAATACATTCAAATTAATACAATCCAATCCAATCCAACTTTATTTGTTAAGCACTTTGGTCAACTTTGGTTGTTTTTAAAGTGCTGTACAGGAGAATAAATAAGACATCATAAATGTAAACAGTGATGGTGATGATGAAGACCACTGTGAGGAACATAGACAGTGATGGCAATAACACTGGAAAGTTCCCGTGGCAAATAACATGGACGAAGTCCGACGGCGACGAGCTCGATGTCCGGGCTGCAGACGCTCTTTCACACAGACGTGCCCGGCGTTACACCACCTGTTGTTTATGAGCACGGACAGTCCCCCTCCTTTCTTCATGCCGGTCGCGGTGGTGTCCCTGTCTGCTCGAACCGTCTGGAAGCCGGGAATGGTGACGTTGGAGTCCGGTATCTGTTCGTGTAGCCACGTTTGTAGGGTTTAAAGCTCCTCTTCTTCATCCTCCGTTTAACCCCCGCTCTGCAGCCTCGCCGTCTCCTCAGCTCCTCCGGTATGGAGGGTCTCTCTCCAGTCAGGATGCTCGGGGGCCTCAGGGCGATCATCTGGTCGCGGGTGTAAAACAATGCGACTCGCCGTCGCCATGGAGACCCGTGCAAACAAAAAATAAAAAGTGCTCAAAAACGCCAAAAAAGTATTTAGGCGACGTGAACAAAGTAGTAAGAAAATAAGAAAACAGTAAAAAATAGCAAAAAACACAGGCTAAAGACACTGAAAACACACTAAAACTACAACAATGATAGGAGCTGCCATGACAGTCCAATCATCCAAAGGAAATCCAGCAAATCATCATATTTGAGAAGTTTGATCCATTAAATGTTTTCGCTTAAAAATGGCTAAATAATTATTAAAATGGTTGCAGATTAATTTTCTGTCAATGGATTATTCAACAAATTTGTTTCAGTTGTACGTCGGTGTTAGTATGTTTCATGTGCAAAAATCTTAATTAGTAAAGTAACTCAGGCTGTTAAATAAATGTAGTAGTAGTAAGTAAAAAAGTACAATATTTCCCACTGAGATTTAGAGGAGTAGAAGTAAAAAGTAGCATGAGAAGAAAATACTAGGGCTGTCCCTGACTGAAGATTTTCCTAGTCGACTAGCAGTCGTTAGATAAAGCCAATAGTCGACTAGTCGTAGCACGTTCATGATATAAACCTTTGATTATTTACATATATATTTTAACAGCTGTCTGTTAAACGCTAACAGAAAAAGCTGTAATGACTGTGAGAACAACCAGCTAGGAGACTGAACATTTAGTTCATTTACCTCAACACAGCAGCCAGCCACAGCCAGTTAATAGGACTGCTAACTAGCCAATGGCAGCAGCTAGTACAGTTAGCACATGCAGTAAGGCCCATGCGACAGTCCCGTCGACCAGTCGCAGCTCCCATTTGATGCTGTTTTTGTTTTTCTGCAAATATCTGACATATGAAAAGTGAGTCGACTAAGACTCTTCTTGTCAACAGTTTACTCGACTATTAGGGAGTAGCCATAGAAAATACTGAAGTAAAGCACAAGTACCTGAAATTTGTAATCAAAGGTCCAGTGTGTAGGATTTAGTGGCATCTAGTGGTGTCCTTTACTTCACCTTCCTCTTCCCAGTGCAAAGGAGAAACTATGGTGGCTGTGAAACACACGAAAAATGAAACTAAAAACACCCCTATCTAGAGCCAGTGTTGATTTGTCAGTTCTGGGCTACTATATATATATATATATATAAAAAAATATATATATATATATATTTAAGGTACAATTCAAACTATTCTCATTTTCAGGTGATTATAAATTAATGAATGAATATCATGAATATTATATTTTATTTCTGAAAATAGATCCTCCTAAATGTTACACAGTGGACCTTTAAGTACAGTACTTGAGTAAATGTACTTGTACTAGTTACATTCCACCACTGTACAGCATGTATACATACAACGTATGTGTGGAAATACAGAATGTACAACAGAGATAGTGTTAATAGGCTTCATGCCCATCCATCAGATAACACACTCTTCCAATTTCAGCTGTTTTTCAAATGTGGTAAAGCATCTAGATTAGTGATTATTCTCCCTGACAGCCAGCCATCTGTACAGATTTGGTTTGCTCTTTTTCCACCTCAAAGCTCCAGCACCAATCATGTTCAATAATGCCTGTAGGTTTTTCTTTTTTATTTTAATGGCTTTGTCAGTGTCTCATTTAATATCATTGCTCTGAGCATGAATTAGGATGCCTTTTCAAATGGGTTGATATGAAAAAATATTAACAGCTAAGTGGTTCTGGATGGGTGATCCTTGATGTCAAATTGCCCAAGCAGACATGAGCATACCAACAGCCAAACCATGTAATAAATTATTGTTGTAGACACATTTACATTCAAAGATTCAAAAGGTTTATTATCATATGTACAGTATAAACACAAGGCTAGTACGCACAATGAAAATCTTACTTTGCCCGACTCCCTGAGGTAACACACAAGTAGAACAGTAAGAAAATATATCAAAATAAAATATTTCAAAAGATTTCAATATAAAAATTTGTTGTACTGTTTAAGAGTCTGATGGCCTGGGGGTAGAAACTGTTAGAGAGTATTTTTGTCCTTGCTTTCACACTCCTGTAGCGCCTCCCTGATGGCAGGAGTGTAAAGAGAGTAAA